CCTTTGGGCTAAGCTAGGGCTAAGCAGGGTTGCGGTGCTCTTTGGTGCACCCTCAAGAAATGAGCAACCAGAAGAGCATGCTGGAGAGCTGGAATCCTGCAATATCTAGTTGCTGTGAGGACACTCACGACTGATAGCGTGAGAGTCAAAATGAACTGGTTTATTTTAAGCTCGCCAAGACCAAGTTTGCCTGGCTAATGCATTCTGACTTTTAGATTGAAGACGTAAATATCTTGAGACTTTGGACAGATTCTTTGGAGGACGAAACCAGATTCAAAAATAATACCTGGAATCAATTCAACAGTGCTATAACTGACCTGACCAGGACCAATGGAGCAGCCGAAGTACGGCCATCTGTTTCCGCTCCCCCCTGCCCTCCTGGCTGACGGCAAACCACCCCACTAGCAGAAAATGCATTGAGCATCCCGTGGAGGAAGGACAATTCAATAAACCTAAACCCAAAGAGGAACACTTCATTTTAGCAGAGGAAGCCGTAGTGACGTGACTCACTCGGTGGCTTTTGAGGCTCTCCCCCACCTTTCGGCACTGTCACTTAGAGGTTATTTTTGCATTTGCCCTGTTACAACCACGCAGCTCTCGAGCCGTGTGCCGCTCCAGAGCGTCGAGGTGGTTAAAGACATCTTCGGGCTTGCTGCCTGCTGAGCTGAGCACCCTTATGGGTTGGGAGCTACAGGAGCCATCAGGGACTGTGCACCTCCATTCCCTGATCTCTGGGACGAACGTGTGGGAGACAGGTGGAGTTTTGGTTCCGCTTCTTCCTGCTCTTGACCCATCAGGTCCCTGCCAGGGACATGCCTGGCCAGCCCTGTCGCTCCAGATGGGAGACTGGGAGGGGGATCACGCTTGTCACACTCGGTTGCTTCCCTTGCTGCTCCTGGGAAACCTGCCCTACCTCCCTCCCTGGCCACCCCTTGCCTGTCTGGGCAATGTTTTATTATTGTGGTCTGGTCACAGAGTCCATCCCTTGTGTAGTTTTGCCACTGCTTAAGGAAGCCTCCAAAGAAAACCTGGATAGGGGCATCATCCGTAGTGCTGAAGGTGACACTGGCCAGCATGGCCACACTGAGGACACCTCTAGCAGCAAATACTCGGTGGGGATTCATCTTACAACTGCTCAAGGGCTTTGGCAGCCCCGATGGCTGCTGCACGCAAGGAAAGGAAGCCCCACAGCAAAAGTGCCCTTGCCAGGATGGCCCCGTGCATGCAGACTCCTGCTCATACAGAGCTGGTTTGAGCAGCAAGGTGGGTTTATCCAGGAGTTTTGTGCTGCCACCTCAAGCCAATTCCCCACCTGAGCCCACCAAGACACCACACCGCTGCGCCCTCCTTCAGACAAGGGGTGAAAACAGACCTCTGGGATAGTCCTTTCAGGACCGTCCTATTAAGCCCTCTGTACGACCGTGTTGGCGGTAGGACCATCCTGCAACACAGTACATTGTCTCAGCGCAGGAAACGTACTCCGAGCCCCCAGCACTTCAGCTGATGGGGATTTTTCTTCCTTTTCCATCAGCCACCACTGTAAAGCTGCGCTAAGAGGCAGCTACATCCCCCAGCAGGAAGCTTTGTCTCATTAGCAGAGGTAAACAACTCCTCTGAACGTGACGAGTCAGGAGAGCATATTAAACATGTCAATATCTTTGGGTTTTTTTAATCCCCACTCCGGAACAGCATGTCGCAGCAGGAGAGGACCCCCCAGCCACAGCTCAGAGCCCCGCTGCACCCCAGCTGGCATCTCCCCCTCTTTGGGTGGGGAGGGGGAGCTCCTGGGCAAGTGCCCTCACCCCTCGACCTGACCCACGCCAGCAAGCCTGAGCACTCCATTGATTTCCCTTGCTCAGTTGGCACAGCTGCAAGCAAGTGAAAAATAATAAAACTATCACCATTTGCTTTTAAAACATCCATTGAAGCGCATCCATTTAGTAACCTCCCTGCTCCGGGGACAGGCACCGCACCGGAGCTCAGCAGCTCCAGCCCGTCCTCCCAGCACACACAGGGATGGCAAAAGCCATGCGTCGCTCCAGTTAAGGCTGCAACTGGGGAGCAAATCCCAGCACGGCACTCGCGGCTTTACCGTCAGGCAGGTGCGTGTCTGAGAGCAAGACAATGTTGAAAACAGCAGGAGTTTTGCCCCGTTTTATCAACCAGCTTCTGCTGCTTTCCCTGGCAGCCTCGTGCACGCACACACGACACCGCATGCTTTATTTACAGGAGTCCCCTTTTCTCCCCAAGGCCGCCACAAAGGAGCCTATGCTCACGTACAGATCAGCTGCTTGCTGTTTTGTTTTATCCCCGCTGCTGGCGGAGCAGCCTTCTGCCTTATTTACAGCGTGCTACTCACACGCTGCTCAGAAGACGGAATTATTTATGCCCTCCCGAGCTTTTCCAGGCTCCTCAGTGCTGTGGCCTCCACTCGCTGTGCAAACAGTTGCTTGCAGCCAGCACGTGTCTCCGAGCTGCAGGAAGGCACCAAAGGCCCATTTTACAGACACGGAGTGGAGAAGCTCAAAGTAGTTCCCAGGACTTTTGGTTGCCCAACTGGAAGTGGCAAAGCCCAGATTTTCCAAAGCACTTCATGTTACACAATGTTTTCCACATTCCAAGCACAGCCGCACTTTACACCTGAAAGCATCTATTTGTGCAAGCCAGATCCCCTCCTCTGCTTTGCCCGGGGTATACCTGGGGCACCCTAAAAGCAGGCCACAAGCATTTACACTCCAACAGTTTCCCAGGTCAAAGCAAACCCATGGTGCAGGATCAGACCCCAGTGCCATGGACACAGAGGCAGCTTCTTCCCATGCTTGCAGTGGGGCTCTCCCAGCACTGGGACACAACCAGCCCACACAGACCCCAGTCCTGCACCTCATTTGAGCCCCCAGGTACCAGCATCAGCTCCCTGCACCCCAGCTCAGCCCCAGGCTGCAGGAGGTCCCCAGGGCCAGGCAGGAGCATGCTGCTTCCCACACACAGCACCTCCCCACGGTCTCCCGACCACGCACAAAGCATTTGCAAACCAAACCGCAAAACCCAGCTCAGTCTTACCTTGCAAGTCCACTGTGCTCGGGAGGGCCAGCCCTCGCACCCCAGCAGGCTCCTAGCCTCCAGCCATCAGCTCTGAGCAGCTCCAGCTGCTTTATCACCTCCTCCTCCTCTGCCAGGTGGCTCTGCCTCCCTGATGAGGGTCCCACCGCAGCAGAGCCCGCTGTCCTACCAATCCCTCTCCCTCCCCGATCCTCTGGATTTTGAGTCCGAGAGGGAAGTAAAGTGACAGCAAAGAGATGCTTCACATGCAAAAAAGATTTGCAGTGTGTTGCAGAGTTGTTCTGCAGACGGTACCTGCTATAACACAGCCCCACGTCGTCTCCAGGGCAGGTCTGACCCACATGCTCCCAGAGGCAGGGGCTGCAGGGCAAGTAATGAAGGGCTGTAACACACATATGGATGAACAATAAACCCATTGGCACAGCTAACCCTGATGCCTGCCTCCAAAACTTCAGCATTTGGTGCGTGACCTTGACGATAATGTCCTTAGTGCAGTTCAGCACATGTGGACGTGCGCACATGTCCCTGCAAAACATGCGAGCGTGGCCGTGCACTGTCACTTGTGGGCAAAGTGGGATGGCTGGACCTTTTCTGCTATCGCCCAGGCCTGCAGGCGATGAGTGACATAGCAGCGGACGTTGTTGGCTGGATGGGTTGAGCCATCCTTCCCACCGTGGTCCCTGTGGGCAGGCAAGGACCATTGCACCTCCTGCCTGCAGCTGGGGAAGGCAGCGTGGCTTGGGAAGCGCCTGTCCCTGCGGGCAGCAGGACTGCCGGGCACAGCCACGTAACTCGGTTTCTGCAAAGACAGACGTTAACTCACTTTCCCTTCTATTTGCCAGGAGCTAAGGGCACCCAGACAAGCAGCAAGTGGCTGGGGACAGTGTTTATGCTGCGGGTGTCCCAGGTCCCTTCTGGGTGCTGGTGGGTGGGCACAGAGCTGCCTGCCCTGTTCCCTTCCTGATGCCCTGTCAGCTCAGCCTCTGGTTAATTTGGGCAACAGTCATCACATCGGGCTGAGGGGGTGCACCCCGAGCATATCTGCTCTGCCTGTCCCCAAGGCCAGGGTCCTGTCCTGGTGACAGCGGAGACACCAGGAGCACAAATCTCTGCTCCCTCTGCTACCGCCTGGTCCTCTCATGGGGTTTCCCTCCTCCAGCCATGCTCAGAGGCGCTGGGGAGTCGGTGCGTCCCCAGCCCATTCGGCATCAGGAGCCACCAGAGACATGGATGCACTTTGGGGATTTCAGCCCCAAAAGTTCTCCCAGGGAGCAGGGGTGAACATGGTTTTCCATAGGCTTGTAACTCGGCCAGCCTTAAGCGAAGTTTCTCAGAGACCATCTCAGGGAAAGCGCTTTCTGTGAAAACTGCCCCCATGCCAAATTGAAAGGCCCTTCCCCAAAGGGCCTTTCAAGGGAAACAGCTCAGCTGTTCTCATAGCAAAGGCAAAGCCATGTTTTGCCTTAAATTCATGTTCAGAAACAGCATCACCCAGAGCCAGACCCACAGAATCACAGAATGGCAAGGGTTGGAAGGGACCTCGGGAGATCATCTAGTCCAACCCCCCTGCTAAAGCAGGTTCTCCTAGAGCATGTTACACAGGACTTTGTCCAGGCGGGCTTTGAATATCTCCAGAGAAGGAGACTCCACAGTCCCCCCAGGCAGCCTGCTCCAGGCTTCTATACTCCTGTCACCCTCAGAGTATAGAAGTTTTTCCTCACATTCAACTGAAACCTCTTATGTTTCAGTTTGCACCCAGTGCCCCTTGTCCTGTCACTGGGCACCACTGCAAAGACCCCTGGCACACTCCGGTTCAGCCCAGCAGTTAACGTTTGACACAAGCAGCTAAACCCGGGGCCCAGTAACGGGGCGAGCTCGGCTGCGTGCCCGCGATGCCCAGGCGTTGCCGCCTTCTCTCGTGACCGTTGTTGTTGTTCCAGGAGAACCCGTACCTGTGCAGCGACGAGTGCGACGCCTCCAACCCTGACCTGGCCCACCCGCCGAAACTCATGTTTGACAGCGAGGATGAAGGGCTGGCCACGTACTGGCAGAGCGTGACGTGGCGCCGGTACCCAGAGCCACTGCTGGCCAACATCACGCTGTCCTGGAACAAGAGCATTGAGCTGACAGATGACATCGTGATAACCTTCGAGTATGGCCGACCCACCATCATGATGCTGGAGAAGTCACTGGACAACGGGAGGACTTGGCACCCGTACCAATATTACGCAGATGACTGCATGGAGGCCTTCAGCATGCCAGCACGGAGGGTCCGGGACCTCTCCACCACCAGTGCCAACAGGGTCCTCTGCACAGAGGAGTATTCCCGCTGGGCGGGCTCCAAAAAAGAGAAGACCGTCCGGTTCGAGGTGAGGGACCGCTTTGCCATCTTTGCTGGCCCTGACCTCAAGAACATGGACAACTTGTACACCCGGCTGGAGAGTGCCAAAGGGCTCAAGGACTTCTTCACCGTGACCGACCTGCGGATGAGATTGCTGAGACCGTCCTCTGCACAGAGGAGTATTCCCGCTGGGCGGGCTCCAAAAAAGAGAAGACCGTCCGGTTCGAGGTGAGGGACCGCTTTGCCATCTTTGCTGGCCCTGACCTCAAGAACATGGACAACTTGTACACCCGGCTGGAGAGTGCCAAAGGGCTCAAGGACTTCTTCACCGTGACTGACCTGCGGATGAGATTGCTGAGACCAGCCCTGGGGGGCACCTACGTGCAGAGGGAGAACTTGTACAAGTACTTCTATGCCGTCTCCAACATTGAAGTCACCGGCAGGTAACGGCTGCTGTATTTCTTTGGGCATCTCTTCTTGGAGGGATGAGAAGAGGGTTACTGCTAGAAAACTAAGCCATCAGCGTTTTATCGGTGCTTCTCCCTCTAATACCCTCTCTCCCAAGGCAGGGCAGCATCAGTGATAAAACAGCCATGTCCTTGCAGGGATCGGCTGGGGCACCTCCAAGGCTGCCGCCAGAGCGTCTGAGAGAAGGGCTGTGTCCTGCCGGCACTGGCGCGGGGCCAGCTGGGACACGGCTTGGATGGACAGCTGGGGTCTGCGTTCCCTCTGAGATACCCTGTACCCAGCCGTGCAAACGCGGGCAGCCTCTGCCCAAAAACCTCGGGGGCCATGCTAGTGGGTTCGGGGGGGTGCGGAATGAGGCTCGCCTCACTGAACACCAGCTAACTGCCAGCACAAGTGGGATGAGTTGTCCCAAGTCAGTCCTGCATCCCCGGAGCAGCCCCGGCTCTGGAAAGATGAAGTTTGGGGTGAGGGTAACCCCTGACAGAGCTGGGGCAGGGGGAGGCAGGAAGGGGTTTGTTTCGCCTGGGTTTTATTTTCCATTTCTCTGTACAATGCCATATGTTATGTTATGACATCAACCGAAACAGCAAAGTAAGGTGGAAAAATGCCGAGATGGCTAATTTCCCATCCAGCTTGTGGATTCAGCTTGTGTGAGACTTCCAGGTGAGAGGGAAAAATCTCTCCATCGCCCACCCCGTGCTAACAAGAATCACCACCGCGACAGAGGAGCCGTTTGTATCGGTTCCAAACTGTTTGCTTCTGAGACTTGCAAGCAAAAATGCTTCACAGGTGCCACCGAGGCTGGCTTTGACCGCGCTCCAAGGGGAAGGAAGCTACGGGGAGGGATGGGAGAGCCCTTTGCTCCCATGGGGGGAGGCCGGAGGCAGCGGTGAGGGCAGCGATGGGCAGAGGGGCTCAGCTGCCCTGGCAGCGCAGTCGCCGTGTGGGATGAGCAGAGCTCAGGCTCACAGGCAGAGATGCGGGACAGCTCCGCCGCACGTGTCTGAGGGCACCCGGGTTTCGGTGCAATGTGCTTCTGTACGGATATGCACAGAGAGATGTTTTACACCCGCCCATAAGAACTATTGCCAGGTGCACCGAATATCCATGGTCCTCGGAACAGCTGAGGATGGGGCAAAAGAGCAAAGTAAAGAGGGTGAAAGGAAAGCAGGCAAAGGTGAGAGGAAAGGGCAGCACGTCGTCGCCTTCCCCTCCACCCGAACACGGCCGGTCCTGCCCCCTGCTCCGTCTGCTGCGGCCTCGCTCCCCCTGGGCGGCCGAGCCCCCTGCAGGGATGCTTGGTGTTACCTGTGGTGCTGGCAAAGCCGCAGGGATGAATCCCCAGCCAAAGCCCACGCTGGTGCATCAATTCTTCCAGGCTGGTTAGGCTCTGGAACAGGGGCACAGAGTTTTCAGCTCAGAAAGCAGTAAATTAGGATTAATTATTTGATGCCCTTGTACAATGAATGATCTTTGGCTTCCAAGCACAGACTTGGCTGTGGGGGTAACCAAGGACTTGTTACTGCACCTACAGCACCTTTGGGATACTTGGTGCTTTAAGATACCTGTTAAAATACTCTCAGTGTCCCATGAACACCTTCCTCTCCAGAGGCCGTTACCTTTTCTGCCTGCCTTGTGCAGGATTATGTCACTTTTATCTCCTGGATATGCTGGTGGGATCCTTCACAAACCAGCACCTTGCTAGCTGTCCGCAGTCTTCCTCCCCCCACCAGTCCCCCAGCATGTTTTGAACTCGCAGTCCAAATTTAATACCATTTAATAGCAGCAGAGATTGCTTCAAGAGATGAGATAAAATCCATACAAACTTTGTGAAAAGAGGCAACTAGGGCAGGGGAGGAAGGGCCCTTCAAACACCCCGGGGAGAGAGGGAGCACAACCTCTACGAGACAGTCGAGACTCCACAGCCGCCTGCGCCCT